AAATTTTTGCAGGTTAATTTGCATAGCTCTTGTTTATTTATATTTATGGTATTATTCTGTTCAAAGAGTTTGTACGACAAAACTTGCAGCCGAGTTTCAACATTTTCTTTAAATGTTAGAAATTGAGCTTCGGGTTTAGGCAGGTTTTCTTCAAAGCGTCTTTGCGCTAGAGTAGAGAAGTCCGTCGGCTGGACAGGATTAGATAGCTCGACAGAGGCGCTATAGAAAGACTTGTCAATAAAGGCCTCAAGTTCCTTTATAGTAGAATTATTTGGACTTAGAAGCATATCATCAGATTTGGATGCATCGCCCAAGACATCGATTTCAATATCACATAGATCGTTAATTTTAGACAAGTTGATTAAATCCTCAATATTATTCATTTGACACATCAAGGGCTGCATTGGCGGCGATGCAGTCTTACTTTTATTGTCAACATGCTTTGTTGGTGAATTCTTAAGATTTAATGAGTTTCTATCATTTTCAATTTCTGACAAATTCGCTTGAAGCTGTTTAATAGTGATATCTCGCTCGTTTATCGCTCTGTTTTTCTCGTCTAAAATTATGGAAAACTCCTTAAGCAAGGTCTCCATTCTGGTGTCGTACGATATTTGACGGTTTTCTGTAGAGTCCAAAACTTTACTAATAGATTCTATAATCGCGTTGATAGAGTTAATAACATTGTTTATAGATGTTATTTGTTTTTGAATAACTGTTATGTCCGCTTTAACCCCTTTCATATCGTTGGTAAAAGTATTGTACGACCAACTGAGATGTTTCAACGGGGTCGATTCAGTAACTGCCGGGTTATTGTTAGTGATAATTTCGCATGTTTTAACTGGAGATATCTCTGCAGTCTCTGTTTCAAATACCGAATCCGCTATGTTGGTCATAAAATCAGTGTCCGTATCCGTGGTTGTTTGGCCAATACAAGTTATATCTAAGACACTCACCAGATAATTCTTGAGCAGATCACCATCCTTTCCTTGGAATAATAGCGAATTCTGTTTGCCCGGGTACCACGTCGCGATCAGATCAAAATCTACGCTGGTAAACCTCTTAGCTTTACCACCAGGTGATGACCAATTGCCTCGTAGGCCGACAATATTTTCAACGAAATTCGTTAGTGATTGAAGATCCTGCGACCATTTAATTCGGGTTCCGTCATACGTTAAGTGACCACAACCTTTCAAAGACCTAATAATGTCTAAGTCAAGGTTCAGAGACGACAAATTTCCGATTTTTGTAGAGCTCGAAAAGTCGTGACCGACGGCCATGTTTACCGTGCGATCCGTTTACACAAAAGAGTAGTGCGCAATTCAGTTTAAATTTCGTTAATTCTAATAATTTTTTCTCAATTAACATTATCATAACTGCCCATAGTCGCGGTTCTTGATAAGCGCAGAGCTGCTCATAGATCTAGAGGAATGCGTTAAGGCTATTTTCCATGACGGTCGTCATGAGTGCATGTATAATTAGTTGTGCGTGCATGCCAAGAAAGTTGAATACTATTTGAATGTAAGAATAAGAAACAACTTAATACTTTTTGTTTCTGGAATCACCTCGTAAATTTATTCCTGCAAAACTTTCGATCCGTAAGCCCGGATCTTCATCAGTGCTAATAATTTTGTGACTTGTTCAACTCACACGCCCCTTATATATATCAAAAGTGTCGTGATTTGATGGCTGGGTCACAGTTACATCAACAATTAACGCAATTTCAAACGTAGTAATGTGATTCTAATTAACGCGCGCACTTACAAGACAAGAGAAATTAAATTTTCACATTAAAGAGAGCAAGCCACGTACTATCTAATGGCTTTCCCTCCTGATCTATAGTCAGTATTAGAATGTTAGGGTTTGTAATCCAAGTGAGAATATGTACATTTTAAGACCTAACCAGGAACGACTACGAAAAATGCAGCACAAGGTCCTCTGGTAGGAATTGAACCTACGGCCCTGGGCAACGCTTCTAGACTTCAATTGACTATCTCATTTTGCGAGAGAACTTATGACTATCAATCGCCATTAAAATCAGTTGTTTCGTCCCATTTTATACGATGGTCGTCAGTCCAAGTATGTTTAGCCACAGCCGACTTATCTAGCTCGGCTTTCTCGCAATTCGTCTTCTGTTCCCTATTTGCACGCGGGGGCATTAATTAGAATCACATTACTACGCTTGAAATGGCGTGGTTGATGTAACCGTTTAATTAATTTTCAAATGACGCGAGCCATCAGATCACGACACTTTTAGCATATAAAAAGGGGCGTGTGAGTTGAACAAGTCGACACAGATTATCAGCAGTAAGAGTAAAATTAATGGTCTATTATGTCTATTTAACTAGAAATACATGCATGCAGTAACCCCTCGCGTATATTTTCCAAACATTGATTTAACATGAAGTATTAGTAATTGATCAACACGGAACGCAGGCTCGCGTTTACGTCAGTGTTGCCATGTCAACACGATAAAATGGTAAATTTAATCTTTATTATATTTTTTGTACAGCACGCCAAAATAGTTGAAAGATTATTGCTTTTAACTACATAACAATGAAGTTCTTAAATATGTACTGTAGGTATGTTGTTCTGCATTTTGTGAGCTTCGATTTAATGTAAAATTTAACCTGAATCGCTTCGTAAAAAGTTTTGAAATGTTCATTTTAATATTTAATAAACGATAAACTGCTTTTTCGGATAAACTGTTTTTACTTTATAAAACAAAATAAGTTCAAATTATTGAGTAATTTCAGTTCGGTTTTCAAATTAATTTGCTCTCCGATCCTTTACATTTTACCTTTTTTTCTTAAATTAAACAGGGTAATTTAATAACTTTAACTTTAACTTTACTGTCGATGCAATGGAAGTGTTGATAAAATATTGCACCAATTCCTTCCTCAAGTTGATCAATTTATTTTGATAGAAAATTGATCAACTTCCTGTTACTTTTAAATGAGCCAATTAGATTTCGTTTCAGAACTGATTGACCAACAGGAAACGCACAGGAAGTAAAAAGAAATTTGAATTGAATTTGAAATTTGAATTTGAATGAATTGATCAACTTGAGGAAATGAATTCATGCAATATTTTATCAACACTTCCATTGAATCGAAAATGAAAGCAGTACATGTTTTACGCAATTAAATTAAAGCAACAAAATTCATAAACATTAAACATTCAAAGCAAATTTGCCCTATATTCCACGATTTTCCACAGTAAATCAATTCTTCTCATTTCTTCAAACTTAAATTGCTTCAAAGTTCATTGTGTGAAACGTGATTTTCCAAATATATGCTTTTGAAAATTGAAATCTTGCTTATCCACTCCTGGGAAACAGCCGTATTTTTGAGATCAGTGATGATGACCACCCACGGTTGGTGACCGGCGCCCGCGATCATTGATGTACTTTAGGCTTGGCTAATGCTTCCCTTTCCCCGGGTGTAAATAGCCGGGGGGAATTAGTAGCCTCGCCCTGGGCTCACGCCCGGAACGGCGCTCCGCGCCGTTAACTCGGGGAAAAGTTATGTTGAACTTTTTGACAGCTTTTATTTGTTCTTGAAAGTGAGTTGACTATGGTGTCCACCATATTATTATTATTATTATTATTATCCTTACTATCGATTGTGAGTAAAGCCATGGAATGTTGCGTTTATAATCATATTTATCCAGTACAACATGGATTTTTGAGAAAACAATCATGTATCAGTGTATCACACAACTGCTTGCAGTACTTCATAAGATTGGCCAAAATCGCGACAACAACATCCAGTCGAACGTTTTGTACCTGGATCTTGCTAAAGCATTCGTGTTGGCCGACCATCAAATTCTTCTTCAGAAATTAAAGTGTTACGGCGTGACTGGACGGCTTCTCGAATGATTTACTGATGACTTTACTGGGTTGTGGTCGACGGTGCTGTATCTCAGTGTTCCCCTGTCACCTCCGGTGTGCCTCATCCTCGTTCCCAAGGGCGTCTTGGCTGCCTGCGTTACCGTAAGTGTGCCCCTAGGAAGCATTTGGGTCCCTTATTATTTGTTATCTTCATCAACAATCTCCCTGAAATTATTCCGAATGGAACTAATACAGCTCTCTACGCGGACGACACCAAATTAAACCGAAGCATCTCAACCCTGAGTGACTGTAAAAAATTTGCAACAAACCAACCCTCGCAGACATTCCAAACCCAGGTGTTGAAAATTAGGGAGACTCTACAGCTTGTACGGACTTGCATGTTGCAAGAATTTTAGCTGGGTGGCAGCTGGCAGGAATAGACTCCCGAGCTATGAGCCTCTCTAAAATTTTAGAAATACAGTAAAAAGATTGAAATATATTTCCCCGCAAATCGAGTGCAGTTCCAAGGGTTACTGTAAAGAAATAAAATGTGTGCTAGAAATACACATACAGTATGACTTTAAAATCTTTTATAGTAACTCTTTCTAGTAACAATACAAAAAATTGAATTTTAAGAAGTTAAACTTTTTGTTGATAGTTCTGTAACATTTTACAAAGTCAAGTGATCCATATGTTCACGTTGCTTTTATTACATAGTGAACAATGAAGCAGTTTAATCAAGAATTTTCCACATTTCCATGGCTACTGTGGGCTCTGTTATATTCTCTGCATGCTGATTTACACTTCGAATTCTTTAGGAGTTCTGTGCTGGGTTTGATTTGTGGCTGGGCATCAAGCTTGCAGGTTTGTTCATCTTGATTGTCATAATGGCACTAAGCGACGTTTCAAGATCAAAATTGGACCGAAAATCAGTCTTATTTTTTCTAATCATAGAAAAAACTCGTTCCTCAGCTGCATTACTGTGCGGGATTGTTAGGGCAGACAATGTAACTTTACTAAGATTTGGCAGTTTATCTCTAAGGTATCCCTAAATCATATCCATACGATGATATGTTAATGTTTCACAACCATCAACATTGGTTTTCTCTGTAAACACAGACTCCTTCCATATGTGTTCAGGAATATCTGTCTCAGCCATTGCCTGATAAGCAAGAAACTCCTCCTCTAAAATATCCATTGCCCGAGGATCATTGATTAAATCACTGTGAATGTGTTCAAGAGCAGAAAGGACTTCTTCAACATTGTCCATGCTGCATTGATTTCTTTTCTTGAAATCAACGAAAACACCGTTTTTCAGCAAGGTGTTGTTGAGTAGCAACCATTTGGTGCAATATTCAAAGGCTGTACTATAGAACTCCCTGACACCATCATAAAATGTGTCAATACTCGGAAGATTGATGTCTCCTTCATCCAAAAGACTTCTCATTTTCCCCCTTGGTTACTATGCCAACTGAAAAACTGCTGTCTTCTTTCTGGTTTGCAATAGAAGTATCTAGTGATTTCATAGATCCTTCATTTTGTTTATGTGCTATTACTTTCTCTGGTTTTACAAACTTTGATGCTAACATGCTCATAAATACTTCCATTTGTTCATTCATCAAGTAGAGCAGAGGATCTTCCCTTTGTAAGAACCTGTTGAAGTTGGTGAACATGGCAATTACAGATTGAAAAAAAGGAGATACAGTTCACTCATGGAGTCATTGAAAGCAGCATTGAGGCGTTGAAATCTGTTGTCATGTTCATTTTCTGAGCAAAAACATGATTTCAGAGCAACATATTTCTTCAGCTTCCGATCCAGGCAACGCTCTAGGCAAAGCCATCTGACAGAGATATACTTCACCACAGCCTCATACTCAACTCATACTCATATTCAAAATATTCCTTTAATGCTCCTTTTCTCTTGGTAGACTTGTCAAACCAGTAATACAAGTCCACGCAATGATTTTCAATGTCAAAACCTGTGACAGTTCCAAAGGCATTCGCCGCTTTACCTGCTGCATCGTGAAGCATGTGGCAGGGGCAACCTACCACAACAACCTTGGGCTCATTTGCCAAAACTCGACTTTTAATAGAATCATGTTCGCCAATGTTCACATTGGTGTTATCTACCCCAAGTCCTGTCACAAAACTTCAATGGATTTCATATTTCTCGAAAATAAAATCAACATGTTCAAAAATAGTTGCAGCTGTCCAACTTAAACGTCCTTCAATGAGATTCATGTCAAAAAACTTGGTCATTACTCTGTTAAACTCATCATCATATATACGCACTGTGATCGGATACATTTTTGCAATACCATTGTCATTACTTCCATCAATCATGATGCTAAATGGAGAGTTCATATCATTTACCAGTTCTATTTTGAAATGCTCCTATACAATTAACAATGGCAGATGTTTTGGTTCGCCCACAAGAAAACTTTTCAGCTGTAGTACGGCCATGAAACTCTGATTTGATAATTTGAGTCAGGTGGTCAGACAAGTTGAAAAATGTATTGTGGTGGACTATCATCAGGGCCATCTTTACTTCTGCTTGAATCGATGGATGAACTACTATTGATGGATCATCACGCTTCTTTAAAAACTGTCTTAATGATGAACTTGTTGCTGCTTTTTCATTTGATTTGTGTTTTTGGGATTCTAAAAGTAAATGGGGCAAATTATATGTAGTGTACATGTGCTAATTGAGGGCTAAGGCAGAAGGGATTATCTGATCGAAAGTCAAATTTAGTTTTTTGAAAGTCAAAGAACCTATTATAAAATTCATCAATAATTCAATAATGTAAGTGTATCTTATAAAGAATAATTATAATCATTGACATTGAAACTTACTTGAGTGAGTAGAAACGCCATTGATGCCTCCTTGAGAGCAGGACAAATTAACATTACAGGCACTGCAGAAGAACTTGTATTCCTTGTATTTAACATACTGACTGCAAGGCTTAACAAATGGAAACTTATTTACCCACTCTTTGCAATAGCGTGTCTTGTATTTCTTTTTTCTTTTTTTCTTGTCTTGTCGATTGTCACTACGTCTTTGCCGCTTACTTTATGGGAACAACTTGTCTTCTCCACATTATCGTATCATCAGGATCTTGATCACTAACAGACCGCTTACTATCAATATTTGAATCATATTCAGATGATTCAGTTTCATGAAGTCTTTTTTCCGCCATATATTTTTTAATCTCGAGCCACTGGAGACTGGAGCCCCTGCGCATGTCAATTTTATATAGTTAGTTTAAACCAGGTTTAAACAAAGTATATCTTAAACTAATTTGTCAGCTGACCCAAAATTGTGCGGGCTCGGAAAAATAATGCACTTCGACTTCGTTGTTTGGTTGTTTTGCTTTGAAAGCATCTATCGGTTTTAATACAATTTCACAAATAAACTTTTCACCATATTAAAGCGTTTGATCTGGCATTTGATAGTAAAATAAGCAAGGAAGACCTGTTTCATGTTGCTAAGAATAGGTTTGTCATTTTTTTTCCAGTCTCTGTAATATTCTTGTAAAATCGGGAGAATTTGTTAAAAATAGGTACGCGACGCGTACATGTTTCTGCGAAAAAACTTAATCACATTTTGTATTTTCTTGAAAGAAACTGAATAATGAGGATGACATGGGACAATTGAAATATTTCATCACTTATTATAATGGCAGATAAAATTTAAAACAGGGCTGTACACAGCGGGGAGTGCAGCAGGGCAAGTGCTACCCACCCCCGCACCGAGAAAATTTAACTAACTTTATAATGTGATCATGATTGTAACAAATAATTATGCAGTCAGGAAATAAAAATTTCATGCAAACAATATTCAAAGTGTCTATACAGCTGGCTATTTAGTAAACTGTCACCTGTCAATTCAATTCATACCCATCAAATTTTCAAAACTTTATTGTAATTATATGAAGCAAAAGTTATGTCACTTGTTGTTTACACTTGCCAATGTTAACTGTTGACTAACATACACAAAATATTTGGTGAACATGTCGAAGACCACTGAATAATTGAGAATGTTTTGAAGGTCATGAGTGAAGTATATAATTAAATTCCAGTTCTGTGCACAGTTAATGATATACCACACTGTTCGGTTTAACACGTACAGCACATTCACACAAAAACAATCGTGTTGTGGGAGATTATCGGTTTGAGTAGAAGGTATCACAAGTTTAGTTTTGTACATTGTGTGCCATTGATCAAATCCACCATATAATATATGATTACTCATTGTAGCTGTTAAGTTATTTTCCATACCAATGAATTTAGGTAAGATTGTCTTGCAAGTTGGTTTTTCTGACAAAATTATCCAGCCAATATCCAGTACATTTATTCTTCATTGTTGTATTAATCTCTAAAGAAAAATATTTATGTTAGAAAGCAAAATGACAATGTAATGAGGCTCAGGAGGGTGAGGATTCTTTTATTTGAAAATGTTTGTAAAAATTTTGTTTAATTAACTCTAATGTGTAAAACCAAAATGCATAAGTATTTTAACTGATAACATCTTTAACCGTTGCTCTAACACTACATTTGATGACAGCTTTATAGTTGGACTGTTGTTTTGAACAGAGTTATGGAGTCAATATACAGAAATACAAGACCAGGATTTAATTCAATATTTCCTGAGAACTGTCCAATAGGTTTCTTTGATATTGTTAACTGGCAATATTGCCTGCTATGTTTTCACTGTTTAAAATATTGCAGAAGTCACAGACGGATTTTTTTTGTATAAATCTTTTTGTGAACTATGTTGACAAATGGCTTAAAATATCCTCGAAAATATCCAATATTTTATACAGTGTATTATATTAATAAAAAATTCCAGAGTGCATTCCATATAAACTCTACACCGAAGATACGGCAATATTAACTATAGATAGTATAGTAAATATTTGCCGAACTGGCGAACTCATGTATTAATATAAAATATGTGCGACATATATTTGCACAAATTTGGTATTTAAATATATAATATGTGGTATTTGGCTACTTACCAGATGAGGATAAGATTCCATGTTGATAAATAACTTCGGAATAATATCGCAAGTAGAATGCCGAGTCAAGATAAATTGATAAAAATATCAAGATATTTTTGAAAGAATAACACGATTTATACACGAGGCCTGACGAGGCTAAAGTATGCCCGTTCGCAGGTTAGATGCGGGCACGATGTAAACAATTGATGTAAACGAATCGCTGATTGGCTTAAATTGGCTTAAATTATATAAGCTCGTCGCTGAATGGCTATCTGTTAACATACGGTACGGTCACGGCACGTTTGCGATAGCATATATGTCTGCTTCGCAGATACAAAAACCAGGAGACCGGGAGATGAGACGACTTTTCGGGATACAATGTCTGCCCTCGACAGCATTAACATCTGGAGCCAGCAGAGCAATTCGAAATTGAATGAAAAAATGTAAAGTTCTCACAATAACACGCAAGAAAAACCCCGTGGTCTACGATTATCATCTTGGTTGACGTATCGGTTACTTTCGAATTTCGATACCTGTCGGTCAGGGAAAAACATTTTTCATTACTGTTTTACTGTATGTACTGCTA